ATTTTGAAACTTTAAATGTTTATATCTAATAAGCTAATAAAGTTATATTAAAAATTCAAATGCCATTTACTATTAAATTAAAAACTCAAACATTTTATTAAATTAAAAATATGTGTTACCATTTAAAAAAACAAAGTTTACCCCCCTCCAAGGCATAAGGGATGAACTTAGAAAGTATTACATAGTTAAAAATTCAAGAATAATGTGTAACTAAAGATAATGAAAAAAAAAAAATGTCTAAATTATTATTATTCTGCAAGTAATTGAGTGGGTTATGATAAAAAAATCACCCTGTATACTTGCAACAGCAAATAGTTCCCCAACTGTCCATACTAAGTGAGAGAGATTTGTTAAGAAGATTGTATACTGAATGGTAAAGGTAACATTTAGGAATCTCTATGGCACCATGCACATCATAAAGTGTATAGTTTTACCACAATACCAAGCTCTGTTGTGATAAACCTTTTTAGTCTTTTTGCATAGATACAATGGATAAGCCATAAGATAGGATAATCTTTAAAAAATCAGGAACCCAATAAAGGAAAATAGTAAAAACAAGAATGAAAATAGTGTGGCGTCATAAAAAAATGTTTAATAATTTAAAACCTTAAGCTTGAAACGAAGCATCTTATAATGAACCATGTTAGTAATCGGACATTATTGATGTATTATACTAACTGTGGATCATTTTATAGAGAAATGTCAATTAGCTCAAATATAAATATTTAATTATTGAGTTTAAGTGTTGAATGGCTAACTGAAATACTTTGTAAACTAAACACCTTACACTTTGCTTAAAAACCAACTCTTATCATAAATTCAATATGGTGTGCACAATGGACCAAAACCAAACTCATGAGTGCTACCAAGTTCATGCCTACCGCCTAATAATTAAAATAAATTAAACTTTTAAATGAAAAAATAATTAGTTTTTTAAAGTTTTATTATAAACAAAATGAATTTCACAGTACAGAAAAACAAAACATTTTACTTACTTGTTTAATTTCCCATCGTTCGGGAGATGATATTTTATTTACCCGTTTTAAATTTGTCATTTCATCAGCATCCACAGTTTGTAATTCTAATAAAGAAGTAGGACGGTCAGGATTACGTCCTCCCATCATGTCTTCGTCATCACTATACATAAAATATTATAGTTCTTTAATATTACATTATTCTTACAAATTTATAACCAATCTTTAAAAAACATAACGTACTCCTCGCCTAGTTGTATCATGGGGTTTAAGTCTTCTCCTGTTTCTTGATCAACATCTTTCATTGACAAGGATATTTTCTGATTACCACTAATAGATAATACTTTAACCTGAAAATTACTCGTAAAAATAAATCAACTCAGAGGTTAGATTTTAAAAAATATTTATGTTACTATTGATGAAGTTTTTATAGCACAAAGTTTAAAGTTTTATTTGCATTTTTAGTGGATTCCTTTTTTAAAGACATTTTTAGAAGTTATTAGGATTATTTTGAAATACTTTAATGTCAATAATTCATGTCATGTAAATTTTTATGTTGCAGTTTTAATTATTACTAATACATACATTTTTTAATTTTTGATATTTTGAAATAATATAAAAATCTGATTAATTTATAAAAAAAAATTAATTTTTTTTCTTCAAAAAATCATTTAAGACATTTGATAGAAAATAAGATTTTGGACTATACAAGTTATAATAAAAATTGCTAAAACCCAAAATAATATTGACTCTTAGCTGTGCTAAATAGAATCATAAAAATACATTAAAAGTTTTCTTTCTTGTATAATATTCTATATAATATTAGCATATTTACACAATAAAACTAACCATGACTTTATCACCTCTAGAGACAACATCACTAACAGCTGTAACTCTGCCCTTTTGACGTAGTTGTGATATATGTACCAATCCTTGAGACTGACGGAATGTATCAAGTTGAACAAAACAGCCAAAGTCCACAATATTTAGTACTTTACCGGAATAAATTCTTCCCAATTCAGGGAATTTACTTTTGAGTTCAACTCTAAGATATAATTTTACTACATTAAATTCATAATATATGTAAAAAAAAAAAGTTATATTCACATACGCTTTATCATTCTTATGACCATCTCTACTTCTACTTCTTCTAGTGTTACGATGGTTATTTCTATCAGATCTATCACGATTGCGAGATCGATCTCTTTGTCTGTCTTTACTCCTATTTCTAGATCGGTCCTGACTTTTTTCTCTGTAATGTTTATCAAGACTTCTATTTCTATGTTTATTCCTACTTTTATCTCTATGTCTATTACGGCTACGATCTCTGTTTCTATCACGGCTACGATCTTTATTTTTATCATGATTTCTATTATTTTTTCTTTCTCGACTCTTACTTCTATGTTTAGAAGAATGTCTTTTACGTTTTCGATCACAGCTTCTAGACCGACTTCTTGATAATCGTTTAAAATCTGATGATTTTATAACATCAATTGTTGAATTTTGACCACTTAGTAGAACAGAAATAATATATTAATAAAATATAAATTTACTTAAATATCTTTTAACTATTCTCACTTTTTAATTGGAGCAAGGGCTTCTAGCTCAGCCATTGTATCACTAATTAGATTATTTTCTTTCTTACTATCATCATTAGGGATAGCTAAACCTGGAAATTTACAAGCCAATACATCAGTGTTGTCAGTTTTATTATTTAAGCTTTTCTCCGACTGTTTAGAAATAGAAGGTTGCATATGTTGTATTATACGAAGTAAATTGGCCACAAAAGAATCCTATTAAATAAACACACATTAATATTTTATTATGAATATGATTGATGCTGACATAATAAGAACTCACTGAAAATTCAGCACCATTTTTTATTAATGCTTTTCTAAAACTATCTATTGTTTCGTTTTTAAAAGCCAAATCTATAATAAATTCAGCTGAAAAATAATTACATAATATATTTTAAACAGTGTTTAGTAACATAATAAATTAAACAATAAAAAAAGAAATATAATTTACCTAAGTCTTTGTCGTTTAAGCCTAAATGGTTTTCTAATTCTGTACATATTTTTGATACTAATGACAAATGCTCTAATTTCTGTAATTCATCCATTATACGAAAATTTGTTAAAAATATCCAATTTTTGTATAAATTCAAACTTAAAATGAGTTTTGGATGTTTAACGTTTAATGAATGTTTATCAGATAAAATAACATCATAAGATAAAAATACAGGTCATCCAAATTTAAATTTATGTTTGATTATGTTGTCTTCTTGCTTATCAGTAGAATGAGAGATGTTGCTAAATAGTAATACAGTTTTCTGTCAATTATTAATCTTTCTCAAATTTTTATTTAATTTTATAGAATATCAATTACTTGTGTTTACTTGTTCATAAAATTTAGTATATTTTTGTTTTTTAATAGTAACCGATTTCTTGTTTTAATGTAATTTTAGTTAAGATAGTGTAATTGTAGTGTTGCACATTACTACATACAACATGATTATTATGTATATGTAGAGTTAATAGAATATTTTAGGATTTGGTAAGTATTTTGGTTAAAAATGTTATTAAAATAAAACAGTGAAGATATGGTTTAAAAAAAAATATTCTTAAATCATTTATTTTTAACTGGATTATCAGTCAATTAATAAAAATGGAATTTTAGTGATGTATAATTTTTATAAGTTTTATTTTCCTTTATCTTTCGTTTTTACTTTAATGAATTAGTTGTTTAATTCAATTCTTGTAACATTATTTATTTTTATTTTCTTTGACAATAATATAAAATTATGGTCCCAAATGAACCAATGACATTTCATAGTTAAAATAATTTTATTCTACTTAAATATAAGATAAAAAATTAAAAATTAATTTGTATTAAAATAATTAAAAATCAATAATTTTATAATATTTTATTAGTAAAATATTAAATTCCTGTGGGTGACAAACATTTTTATTAAATATATTTAGAAATATTTATTGAATATCCACTATTTTGACAAAAGCCTTATGATAAAACTTAAATATATTTGTAATAAAAACTCAAGTTTGTTTTAGAAAAATTGATTTCTTTAAAAATTAAAAAAATTTGAATAAACTTGAGTGTTTTTCAAAATGGTTAAAAAAATTGTACAGACTTTAAAAATATAATTTTTACATGTTGAAATATATTTTTGTTATGTTTTACTAAAATAAATCTTTCAAGTTTAATTATTAAAATTTATCACTTCTAAAATGTTTAAAATACCAACTATTAAATATTTCACATAGTTTGAATTTATTAATATTTAGAATTGTATACATGGTTTTGTGCAGTAATCTATTAAATAACTAACTTCAATAACTGAGAGACTACTACAATAAATTATTTGTTGAAATAATTTTAAATTGAAGTTAAGATTCACATTTTGGTTTTAATATCTTTTTGAATATTTTTTCCAAATTATTACACGGTGTGTTGAATTAAGAATTTTTTTTAAAGGATCTAAGTATAAACGACCCAGAATAAAATTTCTGGTCCGTTATTTCATAAAATTGAAAACAAATTGTCTTTGACTTAATATTTAACTATACATTGTGACAAATAAAGTGTATCTTGATTCAATACTGATAACACTGTTATAAGTAAAATGCTGAAATTTTATTTCAGTTTTGTTTTGTTTTGTGAAAAAAACTATTATTATACACATGAATAATATCTAATTGCTCATCTTGTTGTATTAATGATAAACATTTTATTTTATTTTTGTAACCTATTGACTCTTTAAAGATTTAATATAGATGAATTTATTGTGTGTTAGTGTAATGTTCATTAATATATAATAATGATGTAATTTGTGTAGAAAAATCACTTAACTGATATCTATTGTAAAGTACCAGTTATATAGTTTTCTGCAAGATTATTTACAAATTTATTGTGTTAAATGTATAAGTTAATTAAAATAAAAAAATCTATTTATTCTAACTAATAAAATTGAATGCTAATCATTTTGTGTTGAGGAATTTTCAAGTAAAATTAATAAGTATTCCTCATTTGAAACAGTGGCGCCATTATATTGATATATATAAAAAAAAAAAAAAGTAATTATAAAAAATGTCTGAAAAAAGTTTGATCAAAAAAATATTAGCTTTTTTAAATAATTTAAATAGTAATTTTTGGGAGAAAGCTAGTCTTCTAAAACACTAGTAGAAGCTAGTCTTTGGACTACTATGTCTAAAAGTAGTCCTTTTAAATCTTTCTGAAAGTAGCGCCTCTTAATATATTTTCTTAGATTTATTAGTGTTAAAACATAATTAATAAATCATCACCTTGATTTAATATCGTCTACCTAATATTAGGAAGTAATACTATTAAACTATTAATTTTGGAAAAATTAGAAATTGTTCAAATACTAATCAAATCTTGGATAAAACTTTATGTAAATATTGTCTTTTGTGTAAATGTAGGCAATGTTTATTTAGGGTATAATTTGGGGTACTGGTTTAATTTTTTGCGTCCTTCCCGTGAATTTTTAATCCGGTTTGAGAAACAATAAATAAAAAAAAGAGTTCAGAGATTCATATAGGGTTAATATTGACGTGGTGTCAACTTCGATACCATAATACTAGTTTTGAATTTTATGTTTTGTGTAGTGTTTTGATGATAATCGTAGATTATATCAAAGTTGACGATTAATTATCTTGTACCTATTATATTTTTTTTACTTATTATTGGAAGCACTTTATTTTACCTTTGCTTAAACAATTACTGTTCAAGACTTTGGAGTGATCACAAAGCAGTTTTCGTGGTGACTGCAGCATCTCGTTTTGTTAGCCTCACATGAAGTACACGTTATATTATTATATTAGTGATATTACATATATATATATATGTATATGCGTTATAGACCATAGTGTTGTGTAGATGCTGGCCATTTTATTTTATTTTTTTCGTGCTAAGCAAGAGTATATACACTGCCCCAGCAACGAAACTCTTTATCTATAAATAGACACCAGGCAACACGGTAGACTCCTCCGCCCCTTCCACCACGATCGTCTTGATTCCTGAACTTTTTGTGTCATACAAAAACAAATGACTCATTTTATGTTTGGCTCTGGCACATAGTTTATGGTCTTATTTTATTATCCAGCTTAACTGGAACGCCTTGTACACACTTAAAAAATCTTGTCAACATAAAGACAAAAACAACGGGTAGAATAGATTCAACAACTAAATAAGTTTGCCTCATATTTTTAAGATTTCAAATTTATTCTATTGGACTAGAGTTTTTCTAGGAAAAATTACTTAAAGGAACTTTGGTCACATTTTCATTTTAAGAACGATGAAATTAATTATTTTAATTTAACTTGAATGATAGACTTTTTATAAATATTTATATGACTAGCTGTCAAAAATCTAAATTGTTTAAATTATTTTTAATTTGAATTATTTAATTAAAAATATTGAAATAAAGATTAAATACAATTACGGTGTTATTTAAGCCTTAATAAAATTTGTTTGATTAGATTCCAAGACATTGAACTTTTTACAAATTTATTTTAGCTATACAGTATCAAAAATCCTTTTTTTTGTTTCAAGTATGATAAAGGGATAAAGTTACGAATGGGTAACATTACTACTTAATAAAATGCGTTGTTCGGTTTTAAATTTAACTTATATAAATACGCACCAAATTTTTATGAATAGAATAGAAATTAAAAAAATTATATTTATAGTCAAATTGATGATGTATTAAAAATATTTTCTAGATTATGATAATGATAATAATTCACATATTTGTGATAGACTTTAGTTTTTGGAGATTTCTGAACTCTGATAGATGCATAAAACTTATTTTTTTTTTATATTTCATAAATTTATTATTAGTAAGACACAGAACATTAATTACCAAAAAATATCTAAAAATAAACAAAAAATTTATATGTAGACTTCATAGGTATTATATTAAAATAAAAATAATAAAGAATAGTAAGGCTAGTTGTTACAGAGGGACAAGTTGTTACAATTTAGATATTTTAATTTTAAATTTTAATAGCACCATATTAATCATTTGATTTCATGAATAAATTAATGATTCAAATATTTTGTGAAAATATTGATCAAACATTACTAACATTAAAGTTTATGGAATAATAAAATTGTATATTTAATTTGTGTATATATTTAAAATTTTAATTTATAAAGCTGTTATTATAATATATATTTTACAATAAACATTATTTTTCTTTGCTATTTTTAAAATAATACATTAGAAAAATGTATGCTGTAAAAAAATCCCAACTAGTTATCATTATCCAACCTAATAACAAATAAAATTATCTTATATCGTTCAATTAATTATTTTATAGAACAAAATATTAAATGGATTTTGAATTACTAAAAAACAGAGGGTCATTTGAAAAAACGTCTACAGAAATAAGTAGAACCAACATCCTTAATTTTTCGTTTGAAGTAGTAAGGTAAGTAAATAATATAGGTCCTTATTATTTAGTAGTGATTTTGTAAAAATGTAATTATATTTTGTAGAATATGGTACATTTACAAAAAATATCGGTTTTAGTATTTGGATAATTAATAATCGAGTTGTGTGGGATATTAAATATAACAGAAGGTTTTAGGATAAGAGTAGGAGTGCACCAAAGTTCTGCTTTAAGCCCTTGTTTATTTTCTATAGTGATGGATGAAATTACTAGAGAAATACAAGGAGAGGTACCGTGGTGTATTTGTTCACTGACAATATGTGTTAATAGGAGAAAATAGGGAGGAAATTAATCAAAGACTAGAGGTTTGGAGATCAGCTCCTGAAGGAAAAGGATTAATAATAAGTAGAAGTAAGACATAGTGAGTAGATTACGAGTTTGACAAAGTAGAATACGAAGTAGGTGAAATGAGAAGATCAGTGACAATCAGCGATAGGGGAGGTGGAAAGTCTTAAGTACTTAGGATCAGTTGTGCAAAAGAACTGTTGTATTGACGAAGATGTTAGACACAGGGTTAAGTGTGGGTGGATAAAGTGGAGAAAAAAATCTGGTGTGCTACGTGATGATAGAATTCCAATGAGGCTGAATAGTAAGTTCTATAAGATTGTAGTAAGACCAGTTATGATTGGTATGGTTCAGAGTTGGGCGGTTGACAAAAGAATAGAGTAGAGAATCAGAGATGAGAACGCTTAGATGGATGAGTGTAGTGACTAAA